ACTGGTACTTAGCACCCTTGTAGCTTTCTCTGTCCTTGGCTCTGTGGGCTGCTTCTTTCTCCCTCCTCAGCTGTCTCAGTTTGGGTGTGAACCAGGGCTTATCGTTGTTAAAAGTGACCCTGGTTTTTGTTGGAATAATGCTGTCCTCACAGAATTTTATATATGACATCCAAGTTGTCTGTGGCAGATCCAAACATGTTCCAGTCTGTTGTGTCCAGACACATGCGAAGCTCCTCCACAGCCTCGCAGGTCCACTTTTTGGAAGTTCTCACTGCAGGTTTGGAGAGCTTCAGCATCTGCCTATATGAGGGGATGAGGTGAATCATGGCGTGGTCAGAGAAGCCGAGAGCAGCTTGCTGCACGGCTCGATAAGCTCCACTGATTGTGTTGTAGCAGTGGTCCAGCGTGTTCTGCTCTCTTGTCGGGCATTTAACAAACTGTCTGTACTTAGGCAATTCCTGGCTCAGATTTCCCTTGTTAAAGTCACCGAGGAAAATAACTAAAGAGTCCGGAAAGGTCTGTTCCACACTTAGGATCTGCTCCGCGAGCACACGTTGAGCCTTGTGCACGTCCACGCCAGGCGGGATGTAAACAGCGGCCAGAATGAATGAAGCGAACTCACGTGGGGAGTAGAATGGCTTACAGTTTATGAAGAGGAATTCCAGGGCAGGAGAGCAGTACTGGGAGATCACAGTCACATCTGAACACCAGGCATTTTTGATGTAGAAGCAGACACCTCCACCTTTTGTCTCTCCTCCAGATAAGACCCGCTGTCTGTCTGCGCGGAGGAGCTGGAATCCCTCCAAATGGAGCGCGCAATCCAGGGTCTGCTCATTGAGCCACGTTTCCGTGAAGCATAAGACAGAAGAGGAAGAAAAGTCTCTGTTTCGTCTCATCAGCAACGCCAGTTCATCCGTCTTGTTGCTAAGTGAGCGGACATTGGAGAAGAAGATCCCAGGTAAGGGCATACGTGAGCCGCGTCTTCGTAGACGCACGAGCACTCCCGCACGTTTCCCTCTCCTACGGCGTCTCACTTTCTTAATTAAAAAGTAGACCAAATCCGCCACATCCACTAAAAAACTGGAAGTAGGTCCGTCGGCGTTGATTTTCTGACGTTTAGAAGTTCTTCACGGGTTTAAGAGCACGCTGACACACAATTTGCAGACAAAAACAAACAAAACACGACGCACGTTAACACCAGGGCGTCCTTCCTCGGCGCCATCTTGGTTGGGTCTCCAACCAAGTTCCAGTTCCCACAAGTGTTCCAGTCTCAAGTGTTCCAGTTCCCACAAGTGTTCCAGTCTTAAGTGTTCCATTTCCCACAAGTGTTCCAGTCTCCCAAGTCTCAAGTCTTCCAGTCACAAGGGTTCCAGTCTCCCAAGTCTCAAGTCTTCCAGTCACAAGTGTTCCAGTCCCCTGTGTTTCAGTCTCAAGAGTCCCAAGTGTTCCTGTCTTGAGTCTCCCCAAAAGTGCCTACGTCCCAAGTGTTCCAGTCCCCACAAGTGTTCCAGTCTCAAGTCTCCCCACAAGTGGTTCAGACCCCTCAAGTGTTTCAGACCCCTCAAGTGTTCCAGACCCCTCAAGTGTTCCAGGCCCAAGTGTTCCAGCCCCATGGGTCCCAGTCTCCAGAGATCCAGTCTCAGTCCCTGTCTCCAGAGACCCTTCCTCATCTGCTGAAGACCCTTCCTCGTCCTCCTCCTCCAAAGCCCCCAATCCCCAGTGTTTCCTGTTCCCGCCTCCTGGTTCCCAGTCGCCAGCCCCCGAGACTTCCCTGGTCCCGCCTCCTGGTTCCCCGTCGCCGGCCCCCGAGAATTCCCTGGTCCCACCTCCTGGTTCCCTGTCGCCGGCCCCCGAGACTTCCCTGGCCCCGCCTCCTGGTTCCCCGTCACCGCCCCCCGAGACTTCCCTGGTCCCACCTCCTGGTTCCCCGTCGCCGGCCCCCGAGACTTCTCTGGTCCCGCCTCCTGGTTCCCCGTCGCCGGCCCCCGAGACTTCCCTGGTCCCGCCTCCTGGTCCCCCGTCGCCGGCCCCCAAGACTTCTCTGGTCCCGCCTCCTGGTTCCCCATCGCCGGCCCCCAAGACTTGCCCGGTCCCGCCTCCTGGTTCCCCGTCGCCGCCCCCCCGGAGTCCCCTGGTCCCTGGTCCCTCCTCGCCCGCCCTTGTGGGTTGTTTGTTGTTTGGTCCCTCCTCTCCCGCCCTGTGGTCTCTCGTGTCCTGTTTTGTCTTTGTCTTTTGTTTGTGGTTTTGTCTTGTTCTGGTTTTGTACGGCTGGTATCCGCCCTTGAGGGGCTGTGAGGTTTGTTCTTTTGTGTACCACTAACATCAGCTGAGCTCCAGGAAGCCCTTAAACCTCACAGCAGATGACATAGCACAACTGATAGGACTGGAAGCTGACTCCACTTACTTCACATATGACAAAATGTTGGGTAATTTTATCAATCCAGGATTACCTTTTAAGTTTAATGCACAAGGGGGTTATAGTAATCAATCATTCAACACCAATACCAATCACAAACAATCAATTTAGACGTAGTTCACTCTCATTAGACTTGACATCTTCCGAAAGTATTTATTAGCACACAAGCACACACACACACATTTGAATTTCCTTAGACTCTCAGGCGGGAAAGCTGTGAAGGGAGTCTAAACTCTAAGGCCTAGTCCACACGTAGCCGGGTTTATTTAAAAACGAATATCCGCCCCTCCAAAAACTTGCATCCACACCACCTCATTTAAAAAAAAACTGCCCACCCGTACCCGGATAAATACGTTGTTAAGGACATGCCAGACCTGTAGGTGGCAGTACTTCCCCCGTTCTTAACCTCGTCCTTCTTCTGTGGTCTTCCGCAAGGAGCAGTAATTCCACTTGCAAAAACAAACGAGCAAAAAGCGCTTGGACAATTGATAAAGCGAGCGCAGCTCTGAGGGCATCCATGCTGTCGGCTAGTGTAAACACAGGTCGCACACGTGATGTCAGCATTTTTTTGTCGCGGAGAGTGACGTTGCGGACCTTAAAACTCCGATTTTGTCTGTCCACACGCAGACACCCAAAACGGTGAAAACGCAGATCTTCACTTTGGCCGGAGTTTTTAAAAAGATCCGTTTTCGTGTGAAAAAACTCAGTTTTCGTGTGGATGACAGGACAAAACGTAGAAAAATATCTACGTTTTGGCAGATCCCCGGCTATGTGTGGACAGGGCCTAAAACTCCAGGTGCACCCTAAATCAACAAAGCAATTGCTAGACTTTCTCAAGGGAGTTTTACTGATAAAGGCCGGTTCTGAGGCAAGGTCATCCTCCCTGTAGGAACTGGTGGAGCCTGGTATCTGTCAACAGGATGAAGCTGCGTTTTAATGAGGCACCAGATATTTAACAGTCAAGCCACTAATATTAGTTCAATAACAAAATCAGTTTTTACTTAACGCCAACATTCTGTGAGAGTCAGCATTCTGTTAGTTGAGCTAACTTTGACTGGCCATCGGAGGGAAACTACAGCTGACGCAGCAAAACAGTTCCTTCAGCTATTCAGAAACAGCTGTTCTAGATGCAAACAATTTCATCTATCTGTTGTGATCCGGGAGACAACTCTGGACCGACCTGGTCGTACTGAGGTCTTTTCAACGAACTTTGGTACCTTGGGGTCCCACCACCCCACCCCCGACATCTCTGAACCGAAAGGGAGTCTCCTCAGGGGTACGTAGAACACAGCCAGATTGCGTCTGGTGCCGTTTTGATAATAACCAACTCCATAGTTTAATGCAGACCAAATTCTTTTCACCCAGAACTCAGTTATTCTAGATACAAGGTTCTGATAAACACACACCATAAAATCACCATACATCACATCCCGTCCATTTAGATTAATCCATCACAGTAGCCTTGGTTAACTTGTCATGTTTTTAATTGTTTAGAAAATAAATTCTTACTTTAATAAACCTGATTCTGTCTGAATTAATACGAAGTGTGATATGATCACTGAAAAGGCAAAGAATCCTAGAATCTTCTGATTAAACATTCAAAAACCAATAAGATGTGATATTCTATATTTATATAGAGAATCACAGCTTATTGGCCATAAGTAAAGGTAATATATTAAGCTTAAAAGCAACAATATTTAACCCTACACAGAGTTTAACTGGAGGAAGTTATCTTCTAGCCAGCTGGTGATCGCTGATAGACACTCTAGTAATTCAGACAGTTTGTAGAACTCAGAATCCTTAAAGGAGCAGTACAGCTGAATGTCATCTGCATATAGGTGATAAGAGACATTATGAAAAGAATCAGTTATCTGCTCTGGTGTGCTGCAGACTTTAGGATTCCTGACTTTTATTTTTAATGTTTGTGTTTTACACTAATGACACATTAAATCTGTGAAGCAAACAGCTGTTGAAGCTCTAGCTGTGAGAGGTGAAGCAGGAACAATAAGCACTAAGAGGGGCAAGCAAAGAAGGAGAGAGAAAGAGAGAGAGTGATAGCCTGATCTCTGGTCAGCACAAACAGAACTGGTTTTAATGTGTGTGTGTGTGTGTGTGTGTGTGTGTGTGTGTGTGTGTGTGTGTGTGTGTGTGTGTGTGTGTGTGTGTGTGTGTGTGTGTGTGTGTGTGTGTGTGTGTGTGTGTGTGTGTGTGTGTGTGTGGTGACACGCAGCAGCTGACAGGATCACATAACCTAGGAGGCTGTTCAGGGTAGCAACAGGAATGTAGTGACTCTCATCGGAATGCTACTTGGGAGGCCTCTAGTCTAACAGTCTGATGGAGTGTGTGGGTGTGTACTTAGAGATGACAAGTTGCTGGTTATCTATCCTCCAAACGATTCTTCTAATGTCAGTGTGGGAACCTGAGTGGAGTGATGGGGTTGCAGGTTTGCTGCTGGAGGTCTACGCAGACATTCAGAACCCAAATGGACTTGTCTGGGCAGATGCAAGCCCTGTCTGCCAGAACCTCTGGTTGATGAGAACACCTGTGATGAATCTTCTGTCTTTTCTGGCATGCTGTTTTGCAGATGGTGCTGCTGGCACGCTGTGAGGGCCACTGCAGGCACACCACCCGCTCAGACCCCCTAATCTCCTTCAGCTCCGTGCTCAAACAGCCTTTCAAAAGCTCCTGTTCCTGCTGCCGGCCACGCACCTCCAACCTGAAGGCAGTGAGGCTGCGCTGCTCCGGTGGGATGCGCATCACAGCCACTTACAGATACATCTTAGCCTGCAACTGCAAGGAGTGCAGCTGAGCTGGCAGCAGCTCCTTCTCACCTTCCAGACTCTCAACATCCAACATTTTTCTTGGCCTCAGAATATATGTTCAGAACCAGCAAATCTGGAGAGACTATTAGTTCCAAATGGGAGTGAAATGGTGTTTCGCTCTAAGCTTTGGTTTGGAGATTATAACACATTGAGATGCCATCTGCAGGTCTATGTACCCCTACGGAAGTCCCCGTTTAGATCTGGAATGTCGGGGGTCCAGCTTGGACCTTCTTGGAACTGACACCTGTAGATATGCAGCGGTTGCTGACCCTTCCAGTCTTGAGTTACTCCCAGGTCACGACAGTTTATTGGCATCAGCGAGACCCTGAAGGGGTCGTGATGGTTAAACTTTTATTCTGAAGGAACCGTTGCTGCAGGTGGAACATGCAACAGATTTAATCCAGGCAACAGATTTAATCCAGCTTGTCGTTAGGTTCTTTCAGCTTTAAGAGGAAAGTTACGGATTGGCCACTCCGATAACTTCTCTAGAACGCTTGGAACTGAAGTTAAGATGACGTGGGGCATAGTTTTATAATTTGGATGTTTTGATTTACTGTCAAATCAGAATTTGACAACAAAAGCAAATTATACAAATACCAACAAAAACCACGCCTCGCATCAGATCTGGAAGGTTCTGATTGGATCAGAAAAAGGAAATGTGTCATGTGACTTTAACATTACGTGTGATCAGTCTAGTGTAAATATTTAAAGTTATATTACTTATTAAAATACTATCATAGGATTATAATATCAAGTAATTAATATTCTCATTTCACAGATTGATTGAACATTGAGTTTCACATGAATATTTGGACTAACAAAGTTATTTGATTACTATTTAAAGAGTAAGAGTTCTGTCTTCTTTCTTCTTGCTTGTGCTGTCCGGAGAAGCAACAGTTTAGATAAGAGCACCGAGCATGAGTGGCCTTGGCCCATATCCTGTAGATTAGGTTTGTGTCAGAAACTTATGGCTTTGCTTGGGCAGAGCAAATAGAGCAGGGCCTTTTAGGTCAAAGATGGACAATTCATCACGCTACACCACACGTACGCACATACACACACACACTTTTCAAGCTTAAATCGTGTTTTTCACACAGAACAGATCTACAAGTTTGTGCATTTTGAAACCGATCGGCCTTTCTAGAAACCGTTGCTCCTGGTCCAGTGTGAGACCCTCCTGGAGACATGGCCTCTGCGATTCCTCACACACACACACACACACACACACACACACACACACACACACACACACACACACACACACACACACACACACACAACTGCAGTGGGAAATGGGTTAGGGTTAGGACAGCTTTCCCCCAGCTCACTGAAAATGCGTTAAATAACACATCTGGTCAAAAGGCAGCATGGGAAAGGACAAGGTGGGAACATTAACAGGCATGAGCCCAGGTACACAGGGAATCTAGGAGCACCCTTACTCAACTACTAACATTTGCACGCATTCTTTTATCTAGCTGGGTAAAACACCAGCGGTGTTGACAGAAGAGCCCACTGAGAGAAGAGAGGAGGCTAGAACCAAGGCTGAGCAAGGACGAAGGTGATGCCCACCTGTGGGTGGTGGTGCAGACTGTCAGTCATCATATTGTTTAATCTGTAACCTACTGTGGAGTTGATGTCAGTGTTATTGTAACTGCAGCTGGTTTCATACCAGGTTAATAAAGCTGCAACTGATGACCTACTCGAGTTTCTCTGCAAACATCAGTAAAGTGTTATGTTGTCCTCCAATCCATTCCCTGTATGACCGCCAGAGCCTGTGGTGTTTATCTGAACTCCAAACACAATCACGTTGTACTTGCATAATAAAAACACTCAAACATTAAGAGCTAACATTTAAATAAATCAGAGGCAGCAAGTATAGACTGAAATAGGATCAATAGTGAAACGTGACCTGATGTGAACACTTCAGGCACTTCTGGAGCTTTTGTTTGGTTATAAACATCATTATTCTCTCTGGTCTTTGTGGTACGACACCATGCAGTTCCCAGTCTCAGAGACTACTTTGCCTTAACCCTCTATCATTATAAAGTAACTTGAGGAAAACTCTTAATCTGATAGTTATAGTTTAGAAACTCAAATAAAACCCTCACAAACTCAGCTGGGATGATGTCATATTTAATTCAGTTTATTTCTAAAGCATCAAATCAGGACAAGGGTCGTCTCAAGGACCTTCACATAATAAACATTCCAGTACAGGTTAGTTCATTAAGCCTATCAGAAAAAAAATTCCTTTATAAGGAACCCAACAGGTTGCATCGAGTCACTGACTAGTGTCAGTGACTTTACAGCAATCCTCATACTAAGCAAGCATGCAGCGACAGTGGAGAGGAAAACTTCCTTTTAACAGGAAGAAACCTCCAGAGGATCCTGGCTCAGTATAAGCAGCCATCCACCATGACTCACTGGGGATGGAGAAGACAGAGCAGACACACACCCACACACACACACACACACACACACACACACACACACACACACACATACCATATATACCAGGAGTTAAGTTCTTGCCCCGTAATCGGAAGGCTGCAGGTTCGAGCCCCGCTCAGTCTGTCGCAGTTGTTGTGTCCTTGGGCAAGACACTTAACCCACCTTGCCTGCTGGCGGTGGTCGGATGGACCATTGGCGCCTGTGCACGTCAGCCTCACCTCTGTCAGCACGGCCCAGGGCAGCTGTGGCTACAATGTAGCTCATCAACACCAGGGTGTGAATGTGTGAAGGTCCGATTGTGTTGTAAAGCACCTTGGGGGATTCCAGGACTCTGGAAGTCGCTATATCAAATACAGACCATTTACCATCCAAAGAGGGGCGCCAAAATGCGCCCGCACCACCACCAAGAACTCGCCCACAAAAAAATGCAAAACGTTCTGCTGTCCATCTATTTCTACATTCTGCAATATATATGTACATATATAAATATATATATATATATATATATATATATATATATATATATATATATATATATATATATTTTTTAATTATACTAATTTACTGAACCAAGCCAGTGATATTCCCATCGAGCTCTCTTCAGTCCCACTCTGGGCTCGGCTGCCTGCCCTGTTGTGATCAGAACCTGCTAGCAGACAGAGAGATGTATACACCACCTATCATCAAACTTTTGACAGCTTTATTGCTTTAAGATCTTTTATGATCCTTTAATTGGCCTTCCACACACCACCTTATGTCAAGATATGATTTATAACCTTTTTGTGTTTTTTGATTACACATCCGATGTTTGTCTTTTATTACATCCTTTTGTTTAACTATCCTTTTGTTTATGTTGTCTTATGTTACGTGAGAATTCATAACTCTAGAACTTTGTGTCAACTCTCCACCAGCCCCCCCCCCCCCCCCCCCAGCCCACCCCTTTCAGATCTATGACATAATACCCCATCCCTCCCTCCAACATGGTCAGCTCTTTAAAAACTCTGAGCCATTTCAGCACACACAGTGTCAGACTGAGAAAATCAGCACTTCAGAATGGTGAAAGGCCGAAGAGATATCTAAAAAAATGGTGAAACATGAGGAGAAGCAAAAAGTGTCTACAGCCGATGCTTCGAGATCTACCCGAGATGATGTGAAAGAGGAGAACACCGAGTCACCAACACCACCACCATCACAGACCTTGCTCTGTGAAAAAGCAATAGCGATCCTGCAGCTGCCTGCAGCGGGTGCACTGTAAAAAATGTCTGTTAAAATTACATTGGATAACTGTGAAATGGTAACAGTAAATTACCGTTAAATCAAAAAGAGTAAATGATTGTAATAAATAAGTGAAATTACTGTAGATCGAGAAATTGTAAATTGCTGTCATTTTTACTTTGTTTATATGTAAAAATAATTCTTTTACAGTAAAATGTCACATTTTATTTAAAAAAAAATACAGAAAATTTCTGTAACATTGTTTGCAACTAACAACTTTATAATTAACATGCTAACGTGAAGAGCATGTCTCACGAGTGGTAGCTCTGAGCAGGTGGGAACACCATGTTCTCCACATGTTCAGAACTTTTGCCACCACAGATTCAGCTTCTATCACAGTCACAATCTGCTGATTTCTTTAACAAAGCTGAAAGTCCTACCTCAGTGGTCGACCGAGACAAACAAATTCTTGTGTTATGTTTATGTATTTAGCAGACGCTATTGTCCAAAGCGACTTACAAGTGATAATCGGCATATTGCCCTTGAGGTTAACAACAATAATAACAACAACATTGACATCAGTCATGGAGAGTAGGCAACAAGGAGTGGACAGTAGAGAGGGGGGACGGGTGCAGGTAAAGTGCTAGTTAAGAAGATGATCTCTGAAGAGCAGGGTCTTCAGGAGTTTCTTACCTTTGTTAAGTTATCCTGATTGCAATAATCTTTCTTTTTCCACCATGTGGACAGGTGAACACCTCACCAGTTACATGGATGGGCAAAATCTCAGCTTTGACACTCGACGTCCGCCAGAGGACTTCCTCAACGGCCATTTCATCTCTGGTACAGACCAGCTTGTCTCTCAGGGTGAGATTGTGGACACATCATGGGCCCTGAAACTGTTGTGGCCCCCTGACCCCATCTTAAAACCACCTGAAGGGTTTGCGCCTGTTCAACTTGGCTTTTCTGTGAATGACTTTTTCAGTCTTCAGGTCCCGCATCCTGCTGTCAGCAGGATGAGCCTGAACTCTTTTGACCCAAAAGCCCTTCAACATCCTTCACAGGAGTTTGACTCCGTTTCTGAGCTGAATGCTCTTTCTCGTGTCATTTCTCCTTCAGGTGTTGACCACGACAGCACGGAACTACCTGGGAAAACCAGTACCTCTAAGATCAGTGATGACCACGAAGCCTCGGTGGTTGCTGCAGCACAACCACTTCTTTCGGTGTTGGGAGACCCACCTGACCCAGGAGAAGCGAGTGCTCGCAGCGATGCTCTGCCCGAAACTCCACTTGTCGCAAAGGGGGTGAAGGGTGGCACAGAGTCTTCAGTTAAAGCCCAGAACCTGTTTGTGGGAACTTCACCTACATACAGGGGGGTCAATGCCGATAACACCACTGACCTTACTACACTACAGCTGGCGCTGATGACCCCTGAACCTCAGGTGGGTGACTTACCTATCAAAGGGGGGGTCACACGTCACCCTGTATCTTTACTGGCTAACCCTGGTATTTCTGATCGCATGTGTGCGTCAACCGGGGGTCCTGCACAGAGCACATCTGCTCTGGATCCTCATAAGCCTGCACTTGCTCCTGTCTTTAGCCTGAATCATCCTTGGCTTCACTCTCCAGGACAGACTATGTTCCTCTTGCTAGCTACATGTCTGTGTCTGATTCTAAACATGGCTGTGTTTTCTTTGAAGCCTCCTCTAACACGACTTTTTGTATCTGGGTCCTCTTCAGAGGTCCCACTTCCAGGACCACCAGATCTTTTGATGTCCATCCATCGCCTGCTGTTCCAGCCAGATCAGCCTGGTGGCTATGTGCCTTTCATTAGTGAGCGTGCCTGTGGTAACAATCTGCATCCTGTCAGTTCTGCTTTTCCTGATCATTTTAAAGAGCAAGTCACATCAAAATCAACTTTTTTTTTATCTGATTACTAGTATAAATGAGTGTCTAATAGTGTTGTAGACATGTGTAGTTATTATTTTTGCATTTTAATGCTTTTTCTTTGAAAACTCTAAATTCTGTCTAAATACATCAGTCTGGTGCCATCTTCAGCTCAGAATTATAGAACACGTTTATCTTGAGTCGGTTTTAGCCAGTGGCTAATGAGAACAATGCTACGTAGCTAAGGAAAGTACTACGTAGCAGCTCTGTGGCTGTAGGTTTTAAAAGCACCGCAGTCTCAACCAGTGTTGCCTACTCAACGACTTTGTCACTGTTCCTAATGACTTTTTGACCCCCCTCAACGACTTTTTTTCCAAAAAGCGCCTAGCGACAAACCTAGCGACATTTCTCAGGACCCGTTGCTACTTTCTGTAGAACTTTCTTGTAGATATTCCCTACAGATTAGCAACAAAGAAACCATTTGCATTCTGAACCGTTCTTCCGGGAGTAAGGAAAGAGAACGATAATCTGCACGTGTGCACAAGGGCTGACCAATCATAAACCGTTTTTGGCTCGGCCGAAGACAAAGGTACAGTTGCAGAGCTGGAGACCGCCGATTTACGTTTACTGCTGCTGCAGGCTCACGCTACTATGACAAGCTGGTCGGATCACTAATCGCCCACTTTTGAACACGTTAGGATATTTAACGACGTCTAAATTGCCGTCTTTAAACTAAAAATGCCCTAAAAAGCAGCGGAAATCCCTTCAGAATGCCGTATTGCACGCCGTCTTCATGCAGTCTTTCAGAGTGCTGTAAAAAACGACGTGTTTACTAGTCATTGAATGCCGCATTGAACGCCGAACTGAGGCACTTCTAGAACGTCCTCAGAACGGCACAAAAGAAGGTGCTTTTGACAGCACAAAACGCAGCTTTTTACGGCGTTCTGGGACTTTCCCGACGGCGTAAAAGACGGCATTTTGCAGGCCACTCCCAAAGGTTTTCTCAGCCACTTATTTTAAACTTTGATTGCCCAATCCACAAAGAGAAAATACAGACAGCACTAGTTAATCCTATATGCTATTTCCTGGTTTCCTGATGATGCTATTTATGCTTAAATTCACCAAAATTACCTCATCTATAGTACTAATTGTTGCATTGTGGCTCATGTTAAACATAATTGCATTACTGGTACTTGCATTGTTATTAATAAAATTTAGACAATTACACGATCTGTCCCTATTAAATAATTAAATAATAATAAAATACAAACTGATGGGATATTTTGAATCAGACTTGTATCAGTTGCATGTATTCACCACTAGGGGGCACCCACAAGTAAGCCAAAAGCCACAGGGGGCTTTTTCAAAGTGGGTTTTTATTTGTTAGGAATGTAAAATGACTTTCATCATATGTCAATTTTCTGATTATATGTCAAATAAAATAAAAACTAATAAAATACCCAATGTAATAAACCTGTTCTTTACATACCGTAAATCCTCTAATATTAGCCTGTATTTAATTAACTGCCGGGTATCATATTTTGGCCGGTGTCTGAGTCGGCGGAGGTGAATAATGACCAGTTTTTTATTGTGGCCGGGTGGAATGTGGTAACAAGCAAGTACGGGGGGGGGGGGGGGGGGGGGGGTTGTGTCATCTGTTTCACTTTTGATTTGCCAGTGATAGACCGCGAGGGTAACTTTAACCGTGCGGAGACGAAGAGGAGGCGAAAATTTGATATCAAGTTCAAAGAGAACCTGCTGATTATGCTGCAGAACACTCTGGGGAGGAGTAGCATGGGTTGTATGAACTAGTCACTAGTCGACTTAACCGCTCTATAGAGCTCCAGACCCCACGTGACTCTCAGTTAGTAGACGCCATATTGGCAGGAAAAAAAGGTAAACAAACATGGATGTAACCATGAACGTGAACGGGATCCGCTTGGATTTTACTTCGTCGGAGTTTACTTCACACTTTAAAACCGAAGAAATCGTTTTATATAGTCAGAAATTAAATAGAGTAAACATCTCCGACCACCGTGCCCCTGGGATACTTTTTAAAAACGCTAGAAGCTGTCAGAGCGGACTTCTTACCGGACCTGGCCGGGGAACCCCTTGGGATTCCCCCGGCCGGAGGAGCTGGGGGAGAGGTCTGGGACTCTCCACGCTACTGCCCGCTCCGACGCCAGAAGCTGTCGGAGCGGACTTCTTACTGGACCTGGCCGGGGAACCCCTTGGGATTTACCCGGAGTAGCTGGCTCCGGCGGCTGGGGAGAGGGAAGTCAGGGCCTCTCGACGCTACTGGCCCTGCAACCCGACTCCGGATAAGCGGATGAAAATGGATGGATGGATGGACAAATAACAGATTTACATGTAAGTAGTTTAAATAGAGCGCTGTGAATGTATAAACTGAACGCCAAGAGAAATCACTAGTTTGATTTTTTTTTCCGTGAATAAAATAAATATGTCAGGCAGGAGCGTCAGGATCTGTCTGAGATCTGTCTCGGTGAGACAGATAATAGCAATCCAAAGTGCTTTTTATGTGTGATATGACAATTGATCAACCATTGCTTAAAAATTAAATACAGCTTAGCCGGTTAATTGCTGTGTTCATAAAACACGTAAACGGCAGCACGCAGAAATCACGAGGCAACGTTTTACGTGATGTTTACTTGTTGCTATGAGTAATAAGACAGAAAAAGCCACGCCAAAATAAGTTTAGGAAGCCCACTAAGAATCGTAATAAAAGCATTTAAAATAAATACCATACACAGTTGAGGAAACGTTGGTTTAAGTACCTGATATGAAGTGGTCGCTGCATAAGCGAAAACTTTTACTCTCGGGATCCCACAGTTTCATTTTCGCCCGGTCACTAGCGCGTTTTATTACAATGATCCAACGTTTGCGGCGCTCCGGATCTTGGGGAATCCTGTAGATTGCTCATTCCTTATGTCGTCCGTGTCTGTTCTGCATCCTGGGGCACAACAGGAATCTACCATATTTCCCGTTTGATTGAGTTTTCTGACAATAACAAATAGCCCAGCTGCTGGCTTCTGCCTGCCTAATGGCACCGTTTCAATTTGAATTGTTGCATGCCGGGAAACGTGACGTCAACTCCCGGAGCTCTATAGTGACTTTTTATGCCTGTCATTGACTAGTCGCTGTCATGTGATAATGACCGGCAAGATGCAGTCCTCGGAAAAGACAGCAGCCTGCTGTCAGCAGGTGACAAACTCCTATGCGTTGGGAGGCAACGCACTGTGCCAGAACGTCGGCACTGACACCCGCCGTAAAACGGACATTTAACCAAATTGTGACTTTTACCCTGTTGCAATTTAACCTTCCCCTCACACCCATCCTAATCTTAACCAGCTTGCGCATGCAAAGCTCTGATTGTTGACACGCTCCAGACATCTGCGTCCTGAGCACGGCCACAGTAACATTATCAAATCAGGTGTCGCCACCTCAAAAACCAATTAAACACGCGATCATTCATGTCGGCTCATTTCCTTTTATGTTTTCTGTCTGTTATTCTTTTATTTGTGCCTGATGCATTTCGCTGCTGTGGATCGGGGTGCATCACCTGTTTTGTCCTCAGTGACGTATCTAACTGATGTGGCCGGCAAGCAGCGCGCACTCCTCTGTTTTTGCAGTCGGTAGATCTTTTAGAACTGCAGTTCAAAGGTAACTCATAAGGTGAATGTATATTAAAGGCAAGGTACGTAAGTTTTAAATGTGAAATAACTTTAAAAATGTTTAATTTTGACCATCTGACCCAATTTTATTAAAAAAAGTAAACCATCTTTAATATTTCAATTTTCTCCTAGGTCCCTCCCCTGCCCTGTAGAGCTCAGCCAATATTTCTGCAAGCCTAACGCGTTGAACAATAGCGCTGCGTTATCACCAGGGGTAGCTGTCACGCGCCTCACTCGGCTTTAAGAGAGATGACTGCAGAAACAATGAAGTAACAAACCCCCAAATTACAAATTCCTCGACTGCCTTCCACGTCTCAAAAAACATTTAAAAAGTTTAAAAGATCTTTTTCAAAAGTGGCTGTAAGACGTTTAAGACAGTCAAGTCGAATTTACATTGGAGATTGGTTACACGATGGAGAGATAAAACGGATGAAGAGTTGGCAAAGTATCTTTTGGACAGGTACGTTATTTATTGTTTTTCGGATAAATTGACTTAAAATCTTTCTTTCACTGAAAGAAGTAATAGAGCAAACAAGCTTTGTATGCTTGGTGTCCTATTGGCTAATGTAGCATTAGCTTGAATAATAAGTCGACATGAATCAATGTTAGTCGTTGAACTATTTATGCTATATTTGGAAGAAGTTTGAATAACGAAAGGGGATTTTAGTTTTATTTGTATGGGAGCTAATGATTAGTGTGGCGTTTAACTATAGGCCATATCAGTGTATTGTTTTAAGCTCTTGTATATAACTTCAGCGTTAGCGGAGTTCAGTTAGCATCTTGAACAATGTATTAGATGTTTACACTTTCCTGAGCTGCGTGTTTGATTAAAATGAGTAATCAGCAGCTCATGTAGTAGTTGTTGAAGTCTGAGGAGATGATTCAGCAGTTAGAATTAGGTGTGATTGATCAGGAACGTATCCAAAACCTTACGTTTCCATTAGCACTGAAAGACATATTGTGCTAACCTGGTTGGGCGACGTGTACAGATTACCGTCTGGTTTTGTGGTTTTACCTACGTCAATACTCCATATTAAAATAAAAGGAATGATAATCAGCTCGTGCAGAAATCTGTGAAGGCTGGAGAGAAACATTAGCTGTTGGAAAAAGACGTATCTGACCACAAACCTATCCTAAACACGGTCACACTGGCTGTCAGTTAGCCTGATATCACACTAATTAGCCTGATACAGTCATAGCAATAATCGAGTGCCAAATTCAATATTTTATTAGGTTTTCCTGTTTTGAAAAAGCAAATCATATCAAAATGAGTGATTAGCAGCTCATGTTGAACTCAGCTGGCTGAGGAGATACTTTATCAATTACAATCAGATTTGTCTTAGCAGAAAATATATAATGTGATTTGCATGCTCTTCATGCTACAGTCAATTATTTAGTAGTTTCTCTGACCTTCATTTCATTATATCTTACAATAGATGTGTAAACTAAGAGATGGCTATATAACATAATATTGTGTGTTTCTTTTACTTGTTTAGTCTGTGATCACTACTTTTTATTTTAATATGGGCTTTGTTTTTACAGTAATCAGTCCAAATATGAAGCATCAGCACCAACACCATTGAAACGCCAACTGTTTATTTCTCCAACACCAGTGCCAGCTCTGTCTAGCATTCATGGAGAATCATCTGAAAGGTAAATAGCTGCCTAAAAACCTCTACCAGGAATATTATAATTTTGCCTCTGTTTGTTTTAAGTTAGTGGTGGATTTTTTTTAAAGAAATTCTGGAAATGGGATAATGAATGGCTATAAAAAATGTATAGAAATAAATAAATAAAACTACAGCAAATTGTGAGGCGTTTCACAACCATCTCCTAATGTATGCAAGCAAAAGATTCAGTTACATCCCACCTGTTTACGAGGCGCGGATACTGCTTGCTGCGTTGGACTAAAATCACCACTCACATAGAGAAGTGAAGAGGAGACCAGATGGGTCGATGCAGTATGCATTTATTTATTTATTTTTTAATAAAACACTCATGAATTCATAATTCACTGGTCCAGTTTTAGTCAGTTTTTATTAACAACTTCCTCAGATGAACAACCACAACGCTCCTAACTGCTACATATTGGTTTAACAACATGCTGTCAAGTGGCCAACTGTAGAACAACAGAAACCCCACCTTTTCAATAATAGCGCCTCCAGGTGGGGCTTACCTTAATTACTTTTAATTTAAAACACTTTTTCAGCTAATTTGTTGGATACTACAAGTTATGGCATGTGTCATTTCAGATACCATAAAATATTCAACAAAAAATCTAGATGCTGGAGGCTGTATTCTGAGAAGGTGGCAAAAGACTACTCCTACATCCCAGAGATCCAAACCATGATCGTCAACCAACGTTTGACAAGCAAGAAAGGTCTTCCTCGACGCTACAAGCTAAGGCCTGATGATCCAAGGCATTACGGTTTGCTGTCCGGAGTCCCTGCACCATCAACAGAGGAACTTCTACAACACCTAAGGACTCGCAGTGATGGTATAATAAAACATTATCTGCCTTACATCTTCCACACAATAGTCCATTGCTAACTGAGTTTATTTTTTATTTACAGGTAAAACTTTGCCAAAGACATAGGTGTTGGGGGAGGCAAGAGAAAACCCAAAACCTTCTTTATTTTTGTGTTTCCTTTTGTTTTTGTTTTTTGAAAATAAAGATTTTTTTGGGAAATAAGGACGAATAATTTAAAAATGTATGTAAAATGCTGGAGATAGACATACGTTTTTGTTGTTGTGCAGGAGTTTAACATTTATGGTATTTTTACAAATACAACACAGAGTTATGCTTTAGAACACTTTATTAGAGCATCAAACAAAAATATATAAAAAAACAAACTGATGTAAAATATTAAATATATACAATTATTTACAATCATTGTGGAAGAAAACCAGTGTAATTACCATTGGGGTCAGGGAATTTTCCCCTTATCCTACAGACAACACAGCTTGGGATTACTACCCTGTGCCCTCCACAGAGTTTTCCATGCTGCCATGCTACAAACTGTCTGTAAGCGGCATGGCGGAACTGTCTGTTGTCCTCACCAGGATCCGGGTCATCATAAACTGCTCAAAACTCATTCTACAATGTTCTGGCCAGGCGAAGAACACCATTTTGCAGAATAAACTCCTCCATGTGTGGTACAGTTGAAGTACATGTCTGGGGAGGCTGTTGGCAGCATTTCCTTTCCAAACCAGTTGGCATCTCTCTGCAGTGGGAGCATACACACCATGAAGGTTGGTTGGATGTTGGAGGTGTTGTGGCAGGTGGACCAGAGAGGGCAAGTACATCAAAGAGAACACCAGGGTCTCTGTCCAGCACCATGGTAAGGACGTCAATAGCCTGCTGAGGGTTCAGGTTCTGTATATGTTGCTACAAAAGTGGAAAGAGATGCTACAGCAAGATTTTAGGATCATTTAGTGTAATATTGTTATGCTTACACGTTCAAAGTCTATTCGCTCGGAACAAAGATTCCAAACTCGAGTGATATCTTCATCTCCAAGGTCCACAGCTGAGTGTCTCACACTTCTTCGGCCTCTGGATGCACCGCGGCCTCTAGACGCACCACGGCCTCTGGATGCACCACGGCTTTGAGATGATGGTGGGCATCTCCTTTTTGCACCACGTCTTGAGGATGCAATGGGAGGTTCAAACTCTTACTCAGAGGATTCCTCAATCACTGAACTCTAAATTGTATTACAATAAAAAAATTATACTAATATAAAATGTACTCATGCATATTAAATCAATTTTGACACAGATCAGGTTTACATCTAGTCCAAATTTGGGCTAAACCAACAATAAACAGAAACCCTATGAAAACAACCATGATTATAGGAGGACTACACAGAATGCAGTGTTTATTCATGATTTCCACATAAATTATTTACATGCTTTGATATATTCATCCCACCTTGAATGGCAAAGAAATTAAAAATTTGCTAATTACTCATAATAAAATGCTAACAATTTGATAGGATCAATTTTATTTACAATATAGATTGTCAATTTTTACTGGTATTTTAAAATATGTACAGTATATATTTATAGATATTCTTTATAAAATGCCTTTTGTAAACAGTAAGTGTTTAATGTGCTGGTTTAAAACAACTGTCTTACCTCATAACTCCATTGCTAACACTACCTTAGCTCCCCTATTACGAAGAAGCAATGCTCCGATGTTGACTCGGCTTTTCCTGCGCGTGCACATTAGGAGGTGTGGCTTTCGGCTCTTTCAGGAAGGGCGGGGGAGTGAGCAATAGCCGTTCGGTGTCATCTTACGGACCCTGCCTTTAACCCAGGTAGCAGTTTTTCTTTAGGATTGAGAGGAGATGCAGGAAAATAATAAACAGACAGGAAAAAAAATAGTCAAATAAAAACAAGTTAGTTTTTGTACCTGGGGTTGCAACAAACAGACACCATTAAAGGTAATCAGAAGCAGGGGTTGCATGACTTAATTTTTTTTAAAGTCGACAGTCAAGTAATGAAAATCGAGTCGACTTCGACTAGTCGTTGATGACGTCATACACCAGATGTTTAGAGCAGCAGGAACTCCGAGAGGCTGCAGGTGCATCAGTGAGTTTGCGGCCGCTGCGCAGGGGAAGGGGGGAGAGGGCTGAAGCAGAAACTACCGTTGTTAAAAGAAATGTGTTTAACTTTGAAAATGTGGGCGCAATTTTAATTGTCAAAAACTCCAGCAAACCATTAGTTCATTTTGCTCAAATAGAAATTGAGGCCTGCCTCTAATTCTGGTCCTCCTTCCAATAAAGGCCTGGAGCTTGATGAGCTTGAGTCAAATACAGGCCCGGGCCTGTATTAGAGGATTTACGGTATCTGATATTTTTTCATGATCAGAAATTCTAGATTAAAGAGTGTTTAATTGTCATTGCACAGGCATACAACAACATTGTCTTTGTGCTCACTAAAGACAGCTCACATAAGGATGTAGTAAAATATAAGTAAAATTTAAAACCAGACTGAGAGGCCTTGAGACGGATTCCCTGTGTTGTAACTGCCTTCTGTAATTTTTCAAACAACATGCCTGTGTAGCTGAAAAATTAGTAACTGTAACTATTGCTGCCTCTTGGCCAGGACTCCCTTGAAATTTGTTTTTTTTTAGTCTCACTGGGACCTTCCTGGTTAAATAAAGAATAAATAAACAAGGTTCAAATTGATATCATGCATTTAACCAAGACACAGTGAGCTTTCTGAAACCTCAAATGATCAGAATGGTGGATCTTGTGGGAAATAATTTTACTGTGTACTGCTACTAGCATTGATTTTAATAAGATGTAAACATTGCCATTTGTCCTCACTAAAAATATGCAACGCCAATCACACGGACTGATAAGACGTTTGGAATCACAGTCGCATCAGTAGCATGTATTCGCCTCAAGGGGGCACCCACGTGTAGGCTTAAATCAAGAGGGCTGCTTATTTCAAATTGGGTTTTTGTAATCTCCTGTTTATTAGTAGTCACTAATAGAAATTCACTTTAAGATGTTATTTTTCTTACTATTTGTCAAATAAAAAATAAACCAATAATTGACCTAAGGAAATTGACCTTTTCATTACACATTTGACATTGTTTAATGACCAGAAGAACTTTTCAAATTGTAGACCATCCGACTACAAAATTACTTGTGTAAGCCCTACTGTAAAGGATCCTTCATGATGCTTTAAGAACAGATGGAGCATCACCATGATGCTCATTTCATTCATCATTTTTGGAATGTACAACTCAGCCAAGGTTTCTATTGTTTATTTATTTATTTATTTTTAAATATATTATCATTACCTTATAGGAACAATCAGTGGGATCATCTGTGATGAAACATCGGTTATTTGTTTCTTTTTAAAGGTTTTTGTGTTTCAAAAAAGGGGCAAACACTTCTCTTTAGCTGGTGGTGTTCTCACAGAGGAGCCCACCACCTCAGAGGACATGTGCGCTTGCTGATCATTTTGTGTGATCCTGCGACCAGATACACATACTGTTATAGTCATGTGGTCCCAATCTGAAGATATGCCCATACTGTATTGTTTCGCCTGTTTCTACTTACAGACTCCAAAATGAGAAACCCTTTGAAATGTTCTTTATATTTTGAAGTAAATGTTATCAAGTAGATGATGATCATTGGTGCCCGCAGACACTCAAAAAGTATCCTCATTAAACATTACAAACCCAAATACAACAAAAACAGCCTAGACTTTTCAGTAATTTTAACCATTTTAATAGTGTACCTCCCTTACGCACATTCAGTCCAGATCATTCATGTGTTGCAGCCTCCAAAAAAGATATAAGGTCACAATGCATGGATAACCAATTCTCTCCGTTGCTTAGAGCAGGACTTCCTAAACCTTTTTCCTTTAGGACCCCTTTGGCTGTGTACAAGACGAGCAAGGATCCCCAACCCCAACATGCATACAAATATGAAATGTGATCATGTACAAACTACAAATGACCCGCTCTTGTATAGCACTTTACACGACTATATTAGAGTCTATAATCCAGTCCAGTAGCTGGTTTTAAGACCATGCCATCCCTGTTTCTAGATTGGCCTGCAAACTCTCCTGACATTAACTCCATAGAAGATCTATGAAGTATTGTGAGGAGGAAGATGCAATACACCAAACCCAGCAATTCAGAAGAGCTGAAGGCCACCATCAGAGCACCATGGGCTCTCATAACACCTGAGCAGTGCCACAGACTGAAAGACTCCATGCCACGTCGCGTTGCTGCAGTAATCCAGGCCTCAGGCACTCCAACTAAATATTGAGGGCTGTACATGCTCATACTTTTCATGTTCATAGTTTTTGGTTGACCAACATTTCTGAAAATGCTTTTTTTTTATCTTTTGCATTGGTCTCAACTGATATTCTAACTGATTTCTAAAGAGAAATTGAACTTTTCACTTGCATTAGTTTTCAGTTATAATCATCAAAATGGAAAGAAATAAGCATTTGAAATGCACATGTCTGTGTGTAAGGAATACATCTAATATTCAAGTTTCACTTATTGAATGGAATTACTGCGATGAATCAACTTTGTCCTGATATTCTGACTTTACGACCAGCACCTGCATAAGGGACAGAAACGCACAGAGTTAGACCTGATGATTACTTAACAGTATATGTTGGGTATATGGCCATTAGATGTCATCGCATATCAGTGTTCTTTCAGTGAGTCCAGATCAAAAACCAGTGTTCCATCAGTCCAGAACTTCATTCTTCTGCAGCTCATCCATCTGCTACCTCTGGTTTCTTTTCTGTCAACAGATGTCAGTCACGATTTCCTTTGACTGTTTGTTATTTTTAACTATTGTTATGGTGTATGTCTTGCAGGAGCTCCTGAAGGTGTTCTTCTGTCTTGTTTCTCCCATCACCACGCACCACCCAGAGGTGTCAGATCTTCAGACCAGCTACTCCAGAACGTTCCCGGACTCTGGACCACAGTTGTTTAATAAATGTCTGAAACAACTCTGCTTGTTGTCAAGTTCCTTTCTTCCTTAAACTGTAATTTACTAATCACTCAATGGGAAGATTTGCCCACTGAGTGGTGTGTAATTCTATTGTGAATTCTATTGCTCTGGAAAACTTGCTCTCGATTTCCTATGTCTATGAATTCACCAGACAAAAACTTATTTTTTGGCTATTTTATAGCAGCTATACGAAGACGTGATGCTCTAGCAGTTTCTTCATGATGCCGAAATTGTGTAAAACAAACGATTTTCAACCTTTTTGAAAAAAAAAGTCTCTGTTGTTGATTGTGCCCACTACAATACAGAAGCACTAGAAGACTTCAGAATCAGAATCAGAAAAACTTTATTCATCCCCAAGGGGCAATTTAAAAAATAACAGCAGAGCAGCATGACGTTGGACATACGAACATTGAATAAATAGGCAATAAGACAGTAATAAAGCAGCAAGAAGATGGATAAAAACAGTAAAATGTGCAAAAATCACTGAGTAAGTGAATAACTTATTTGACTTATAATGACTTGCTTTCTTATAAGTTGATCTTTAATTAGATATTTAATCTAATCTGATCTTTAATTAAATATTTAATCTAATCTGATATTTAATTAGAAAACAACATGAATCGACAGTAACACGTGATTTTCAAAAATTCAAGATTTACTTGTTTTTATTGAACATGGATTCATTCAGTAATCCACCAGTTCTCAATAGTTAGCTTTGCGTTTGTGAAAGAAAGCAATGCTTATTAATGCTTATTAACAGTGGTGTAATTGGTAGAACAACGTTACCAGATTCTGAAAGCATCTGTAAATGAAGACATATTTGCAACCCTGTCACAATCCAATAGGGACATTTTCCCCAGTAACACATCTGAAAAGCCACCAGTTCTGCCACCTTCAAACTAGGCCTTTCAAAATCCAAGGGACCCTTTTAAGGCTGTGTGCACCAGCTCTTTAATCTTTTCTTCATCTGTGACACCCCTTGGCAAAAAAAGGTTCAGGCTGCATGTAGACCCCTAATACTAAATTGAAGCCAACCCGGAAGTGACAAAATTGCAGTTCCACCCTCATCCACTAGGGGGCTGGTGTCAGAAGCGAGAAAATCCTCATTGACTCCCATGTTAAAAATACCAATTTCACATAAGAAATAAACATGTTTACAGCCTGGTACCAAAACATGTTTTTGGTTTAAATGATCTAGCTTACACTCATAACAACTCTGAGGGGGGTGAATTTTTTCTCACTCTTCTGTTTAAGTGTATTAAAAGCTTAAAATTCTGTATAATTAATGAGCATCAGACCCACGTGACCACAGCTAGCTCTGGGTAAAGGCCTCAGTCTGAGCCTCGGCCTCGACTGAAAACTGTTCCGCCATTTTCAGTCTCTCAACTTAGACCATTAGTTGTAGCGTCTGTGCGTTCTTTTTTGGATATTATTTGTGCAATTGTTGGACAAAATGACTTGCTGTGGTATTAATTGCACTAATAGAGCGTCCAAGGAGTCTCCACTTTTTTTTCGGTAAGTAAAATTATATTTATGTATTTTAGGTCACTGCCGCTCTTGCACTAGCTGAGCTTAGATTTTAACATGTACTGTTTAACCATGAAATTTAAATGTAATAGGGTAAAACCCAGTGCATTTAACATAACGTTGCACTTTAGAAAATGGGTTCAAATATAACATGTTGGTGGAGCTGGGTTCCGACTATTGGCATGGTCCCCTCCCCTTAGCGGCAGCTCGGCGCATCTCTGACCGCAGCGGCGCCTGTCTGCTGCATGGCTGCCGGCTTGTGGAGCTCTCGGGAGACCTCTGTTCCACCCAGCGGTCAGCCCGGCGTATCTGTGACTCAGAAGCTCTGGTGCTGTGCACAGTTAACTCCGGTTGTAGCTAGGTTGCTACCTCCGTTAGCTTAGCTCCCACCTCTGCGTTAGCTTTGGATTAGCTTGTAGCTACATCGCTTCAGTTCGACGGATGTTGTCATTTGATCCCAGCTTTACAGCCCCACCCTCAGCTCCACCTCTTTTCCCTTTTTTGGAATTGTCTGGGCTTGACTGAACCTGTGACACGGTCAAAATGGCGGTGGTGGCCACCTCCATTTTCGCTTAAAACTTATTATTGAAGCCTATGGAAACAAATTGTCCAGTATATATGTCGATGGTAGATAGCGTCCTATTTTCAGAGCAGGTGGGGGCTGCCACAGTGTGTGGGTGCTATTGATGGCTCACACATCCCCATCATCGCACCCCTTAACTATATATTATATGCAGAAAGTTACAGTTCATGTCATAATACTGTCATCTACAATCATAGAAAAAAATTGAATTTTGTCCAATAGGTGGCGCTGTTGTATCCCCAAAAAAGTTTTGCCCAATTTTCTCCCCATTTCTTCAGTAAAAAAAACAAACAAATGATCTTATCTTTCATGTTCCTTGAGTCAGTCAAATGTTGATGATGAGTAGAGAAAATGTTTTTTAGACTTATGCAAATTAGTAGAAAATTCTATAACATGTCAAACGTGCTTTCGTCAACTTCTCTCGGCCGTCAAACCTAATCAAGTCAAAACTTGGCCTGACAAGAGGGGCGGAGTGGCTGGCCAAACTATGTGGACAGATTTTTGATATTTTATTTATTTTAGGAAATTTGCCCTTTTAAAATATTTTTTTAAATAAAAAAGTTTTTTTAGTATACCTTTGAAAGAGTTTGACATTTTTCAAAGCTGTTCCAATTTTTCATGAAAAAAGTGTTGAATCTACTGATTTAAAAACAGCAGCATTGTATTCCACACGTTGACATTGTCATATGAGAATATTTTGGTAATTTTATGATGATTTGTGCAGTTTTAAGGATTTTTTAAAATCATTTGATCAGTAAGTCACAAAATGAAACTCATAGTTTTGGTTGAAAATACATTAAATCTAGAGACATTATCAAGTACTAATATTATTACCAGTATACTATTGATGTATAGATTATTGTTAGGTCATCTTTAGATCAACTGTGGATTTTATAATAAAGTTTTTTTCAGTCAGTTTATTTATACATCTCAATATGTTTATTTTTTTGAAAAAGCATTTAATTTTGAAACAATAACATTACAAAACCTAATTGGTCATGACACCGTGATGATCCAAAAATACTTTGGAAATTTCTTTAAAAAGAATATATTTTTTATGAATTTAATATACATTGTCAGTAATATTGAAATGGTAAATGGCCTGTATTTGTATAATGCCTTAGTAGAGTTCTACAAACCTCCAAGGCACTGAACACAATCAGTCTTTCACTCATTCACACACACAGTCACACACTAGTGGGAATGAGCTACAATGTAGCCACAGCTGCCATGGGGTGCACTGAGAGGCAAGGCAGTATTCTCTGGTCAGAGTGTGGATCAAACCTTTAACCTTCTGATGACTGGAAAACCCGCTCCACCTCCTGAGCTACTGCTGTCCCATGCAGCACATGACTTCATTGACAAGATCTTCACGATCTTTAAAAATTACACGATGGAACTGGATTGTAATAGGAATTGAGATGTTATCGATGCCTGTGAAAGATTTTCCTATAGGCTGTGCAAAAGGGTCAAGATTTCCTGAGTGTTCAGTTCATTTAGAGAGCTGACACAACGCCTGCAGGAGTCTTTCATCCATTCACACACCCAGTTGCGCTCTAGTGGGAGTGAGCTACAATTTAGCCACAGCTGCCCTGAGGCGCACTGAGAGGCAAGCAAGGCAGCATTCTCTGGTCAGACTCAGGATCGAGCACGCAACCTTCCGATTACTGGAAAACCCGCTCCACCTTCTGAGTTACCGCTGTCCCATACAACGCATAACTTAACTGACAAAATCTCCACGATCTTTAAAAATGTCACGATGGAACTGGATTGTAATAGGAATTGAGATGTTAGCCATGCGGTTTTTGTATAGGCTGTGCAAAAGGTTCAAGGAGATTTCCTGAGTGTTCTTTTCATTGCACCGGTTGAAGTGAGCTGACGGGATGCTGGCTGGAGAACGTGTTGTTGGGGCGGGGCCACGTGAGGGATGGCAAAGGCAGGGGCGGTGGGTGACTGGCGCTGGTTGGCTTAGAACTCATAGATAACTGCTTGCAGTTCTAGTATATATTTTTGTTTCTGTGAAGCGCCTCGTGATTTTTATCGTGAGAGGCGCCACAGAAAAGATTGTTTTCTTTCTTTGCCCGACTAACGGGTCCACCAGAACCCACCTAAATGCCACTAAGCACACTGGGACGTCATGTCACCACCATCAGCGATTAAAGACTGTAGTTTTTCAGTAAATAAATGTAAAAACCTGTGTTTTACCATTATAACTTTAAGGACATTTTCCATAAAAAATGGTGCTATAGGACGTTACAGCTTCAAATTGTGATTTTCTTTTCGGGACTGGTGGTTGGTCCTAGAGCTGCAGCGGTAGCAGCCCGCTGTTTCTCCTTCTCTGGTGTGACTGAGCGGAGAACCTCTCACACCAGTGGTGTTCTGCTGCTGAATATGTGCGTGTGTGACAGTGTTCATGTTTAGTGGTTACAACCAGCACCTCAGTTTGAGAACAGCATTTGTCCTAAGAGACATAAACTCCATTTCTCCGAACAGAGGCTGCTCAGGTCGCTGTCGGCTGTGTTAGATGTTTTATCACGTTTTGCTATCAGACCAGTGGAACCACCCTGCTGATTATGGCAGGGTCCAGGCTCATGAACCTGCAGTCCGCAGGGCGTTGACTCCAGCAGCGGGGGCTCCTGCGGTGGGCGGAGCCGGTGGGAGTGGGCCTGGCCGGCCGTTTTAACACAGATGCGCTCCTCCGTCGGTCAGAGCGGGCAGGATCCACATCAGACGGAACCATGACGGCACCCAGCGGCACCTACGACGTTATAGTGGTCGGAGCTGGCATTTCAGGTAGGACCCACACCAGAAGTCCTGGCTCGGGACGGACTGGACTCATGTGCGCTCTGCGGATCCGTTCCTCCTCGGTCTCCGGGCACGCCTCTTCCGCACTCTGCACCGCTGCCTGGGCGCATGTCGAGCAGTCAGAGCGGATTACATAAGAGCAGGCTCCGGTTCCTCGTGCTTCCTAGCTGGAGATGCTGAGGGAGAGCTCATCCAGCTGCCGGCAGCAGCTGTTAGCCAACACAGTCCCTGTGTGCAGGGGAGCCTCTGGCTGCAGCTGAGTCTGTCCAGGGCAGGGTCAGGGCTGGAGCTGCAGCTGGGTGGAGGGGTCGGACCTCTGGATCTTCTATCAGATAGATCCAGCATGTCAAGGTCAGGGTTAGGGCTGGAGCTGCAGCTGGGTGGATCTTCTATCAGATAGACCTGGGATGTGACAGCTGCCTGAAACAAACTACATAACACAGTTGAGCTGCTTGTGAACAGACTGGATCTAGCACATAGAATGATTTAAGGGCAGAGGTGCATGCATCCTCGGTCCACAATAATACACCAGTGTGGCTTTAGCAGGCATGTGTAATATTTATACAGCACTTCACAGAGTTAGCTTACTTTCAGGTTATAAAGATACGTGTAGAAGTACAAACATGACGTCTGTGTTTTGACGTGGACGTAACTATCTGTAACTTGTGATTTAAACAAGTTCTGCGAAGATTTTTAGCATTTACAGTTTACCGTGAACCCAGTGGCGGATTTAGCAATTTGGGGGCCCAAGGCGAACACAGACACCAAATTTTCGACAATCTTATCTAACTGGATTTGCGAAACTCTCCCCTCTTCTGACATGAGTTATTTTCTCTTTTTATTAGTCCTCCTCTTTTTTCCTGTCTTTCTCTCCCTTTGAGTGCTTTCTTCTTCCTGTCAGTGCTCCTGTGCTTTTGCCTGTTTCTTCTTCTATTTTCCATTTTGGTCTATGTTTTCCTGCCTTTAAACATTTTCCATTTTCTATCCTTTCTGCTTCCTTATGATGTTTACTTGGAAAATGACGCCACTTTTGGAAGTGAAGATAAAAGTCTTTTTAAATCAAGCTGCTTCTTTCTCTTATTGGAGCCACTAGGATAACTCCATTTCATGCTTCATGTTTTCACTACCGCTTCGAGTTTGTTACGAACGCTCCCGCCTCTCTTCTTCTGTTTTCTCTTCTTCTTCTTATTTCTGGTCTTATGGCACTTGGCAAACAACAATCTGGTGCATTACTGCCACCAACTGGATTGGAGTGGAATGACTACCAATCACTTCCTGTTTGTGCATCGGCGTCCTAAAGGAATAGTCCCTTGTGCCATTAACAGAGGGGTGCCGGCGGTCAGGGCTAGGGGATCCCCCCAACATAAGGGGGCCCCAGGTGGCCGCCGACCTATGCCTAATGGTGAAACCGCCACTGCGTGAACCGTTTCCAAGCAACAACCTTTGGAAATAGTGATGTGAAAATAGAAGTTTCCTGAAAAAGCTCTGGTGCCCAAAGGGTTAAAAGACAGCTGCAGACTCTGTCCCATGATCCAGAGCCGTCCAGAGGCCGTGGCCAGATTGTGCATTCACATACGTAGGATGGCTAATCCAGCGTCCAATCCAGCGCTTTGACTGCTAAGAGAGGTGTACCCAATAAAGTGGCCAATGTGCAGACTTAACCTTTTGAAGAGGCTGGGTCGGTGTCAGGTCTCAGCAGTCTGGCACACTGAGCAGGTGCTCCAGAGGAAACGTTAACTCAATAAGCTGTTGTGTCCCATTAGGGTCCAGTCAGTAGTAGCATCATCATCTCCTTTGTTTGCTGCCCTTTAGATGTTCCATCAAGGACCACACACAACCATCAGAGTCTGGACCCTCAGGCCCAGACAACACTCTCACACATGATTGAACTCTGGTGGCAGCCTCTGGTCTAACTGGGTTAAAGGAGGCAGGGCCAGAGGAGCAGAAATGATGGTAATACAAGGAAGGAGCCTCCTCTTCCTTTTGGGCTGGGGAAGTTCAGTGAGGAGAGGAAAAGGGGCGGGGCACCAGAACGTCTGAGAACAGAGAAAAAGGCCAGAAACTACAGAACTGGTGTGGAAATGCAACCAGAGAACAACTAGTGTGGACAAATATCTGCTGTTGCTCCAGTTCATCCCACTAAAGCGGGGGGGGGGGGGGGGGGGGGGGGGGGGCTGATGATGCACTTGTTTCCATTCTGGCATCTGCAGGTCCTCATGGCAGAATCTAACAGCGTGCAGGAACACGAAACAGGACAAGAAAACGGGTTGGAGGGGTCATTTTCATGATGGTGTATTTATCTGCCCTGTGCTCGGTCTTCAGTTCACCTGTTCTTACTGATACTTGCAGGACCGAGCACATGCAGGGTCTTGTTAGTGCACCATCTCTGGAGTATTCCTGCCCTGCTCATACAAAAGCAGAATCACCATGAGCTGCTCACCAGATAGTGATGTTAGGGGTACTAGTTCTGCCCGGCTATCGGGAGCTCAGGCTCAAGCAGCTGTTATGTGGTCTTGTCCCCAAGCATCCCCAGCACATGGGTTAATCACTATGTGTTATCTGTTAACGGTGTCTTCCAGCGACACTGCTGTCTCAGACCAGGCTCGTTCAGGAGATCAAACTCCGCCCTGGCAGACTGGCCATCGGGAGCACCAGGACACTTCCTGGTGGCCTGGGTGCCTATCTGGCCCACTCGGCGACAGCCCATTGTCGGGTATGGTCAAGTCAAGTTGTGCAGCTCATGAGCGTCTGCCCCACTGACGCCAGCGCTCCCCCACGTGCATCACTCGCTGTGTGCATGACACCAAAAGGCCAGGGGGACACCAACCAATCAGGCAAGACATTCACGAGATGACCCCCACCCCGAACAAACACCCACCGTCATGGAGCGGATCTGCTAGTATGCCCCCACCACTGCCATGGAAGGCCGTGGTGACTAGCACAGGACGTGTGTATTGGTGCTGTTGATGGGTAGGGTTAGGGTTGGGGTTAGGCCATGTCCTGACCCCGGTGCGATTCCCCATGTCGGCAGTAATTCATTTTCTTCTTTTGTAGCCACTCTTCTAGCCAGTATTACATTGTTAACATAACTAACCTGTTAGTAGTTTAGTCAGCCAGCTGCAGCAGTTTTACTTTTTCATGTTTCGGTTTTATTTTATTTTCAGTAAAATATGGTGAGCCTCTAAAGCGGGGCTATTCAGTGCTAGGACTCGAGGCCCGGTATCCAGCTTGTTGTAGTGCTTTCTCTGCTCCAACATGCCTGATTCATTGGTTGAATCACCTACAGCAGCTCATCAGGCGCTGCAGAAGCCTGTTAATCACCTGCTGATTGACATCAGGTGTGTTGAAGCAGAATTAAACCTGCTGGATACCGAACCTCCAGGCCCAGAATTAAACAGCCCTGATCTAATGATCTTTGAATTTGGTCTTTTCCACGCAGCAATGAGGCTACGTTCACACATGCAGCCATATCTGATGTTGTGTGACAGTCTGAACGATCATGTCCATTAAATCCGTCTCCTACGTCACTGAGTCAGCGGAGATGAGCGTCGTGTGTGGATGTTCCTGAGGAGGAGCGCTGACAGAAGGGTTCAAGAGTCTGTCTGGACTTCCTGTTTTAGGTTTAGGAATTACAAATACAAGAGAGCATGAAAACGGGAGTGGGAGGAGCTGCTGGAGTGAAGTGTGTCACCGGTATCCGTGAGAGGGGGGGTCTCTCTGAATGAATGAATACTGGAACATTTTTGGTGAATAATGATTCAGGGAGACGGCGGGAACAAGCAGTAAAACAGTTTACAGTTTTTAAACCGTTTCCAGCCCAAAACGGGAGACTTAACAGGTGTGAAAGTTTTCACTGACAGTTTATCCACAGGATCAGGATTACATCACAACTCCGCCGCTCCAGGTTTCTCCACTGAATGACTTCCTGTCTTCTGCACATGCGGGTCGCTTTGGTTCCGCGGAGCGTTCACACTGGAGAGAGTTTGATGTGGCATTTCGGTCGCCGTGTGAACTGCCACACACATAAATCAGATTTACTCCCAAAATCTGAATAGAGCATCAAGGCCAAGGCGAGCGGCTCAGAGCGCTAACGTGCCGTATCGGCAGGTGAGTGGCTGAGCCAGGTGGAGCGCAGCCACGTAGTAATTTGCTGACAACGTCACATTTTTCAGCTTAGCCATCAACCACAGCTGGTTCTACATGAATGTGGAGCAGAGTTTGAACCTGAAGATGGAGATAGAATTAAGGTTTTGGGCTGAAATAAATGTGAAAGAAATGATTTCCTTTCTCAGATGTTCTCTCTTCCACGAGGAGCCGGTGCTGCCTGCATGAAATGGGAAGTGATGCCCTGTTATGGTCACCTGTCTGCCGCACACCTGTTGTATGAACCATTAGACGCACCTGTGGTTGGATGCCTGTTCATCACAATGTTCTGTCTCTAAGACTAGAACGGGGGTGTACTGTTTTTATAACATGGGCTTGAGTGCATTTGTCAGGAAAACGGCTGTTTGTGTGAAAATGAACAAATCCTGTTTCAGTCAGTGGCCCACATGAGCTGCAGTAGTTAGTGGTGTGGTGTGATAGGAAGTGTTACGTGCAGCATGTCCTTCTGGAGCAGACTTGGGTGGAGGTGTTCCTGTCTGAGCAGGAAGCTGCTTTTAGCGGTGACAGCTGGAGGCTCAAACACAGACGGATGCTGACATTTGGAGCTGGGCTCCGGTAATAGCATCCGTTTAGTTTGTGAGCAGACACAGGAGGAGACTGATGCTGTCTCTCTTTAACGAGGCCTAAAGGGCAGAGATGGAGAGAATCAGGTCTGAGGTTGGAGGAATATTTGCACAGATGTGGACGCCTGCAGCAGGAGCAGCAGTGAGAAGGTCGGGCTTTAGTCTGGAGATCTTGTCAGCAGCCCAGTGTTCCTCTGTTAGAACACGGTTCTACTGCAAGCTGGCTGGGGTTGGTTTCATGGCCAGAACATTCGTTTCAGATCAGCGGTGGAGCGTTTTAACCTGGTGCCTGCAGAGCTCCAGGCAGAGTTTGGAAACCATGGCAACACATTACTGCAGAGACGTAGTGGATTTGGTCCTCCCGTCTTCAGATTCAACTCCAGCAGAAACCTGTGATCTCCACAGGAGGAGCTGAGCAGCTCAGCTGTTGTCCAAGCGATGTTAAAGGTGTCAGGAGGAGCATCTGAGCTGTCCACAACGTCGCTGATCATCTGCAGAACGTACTGAAGTAGCTTTTATTTCTCTGCACACTCCAAGCCCCTTCTTCCTCCCAGTTCCCAAGCTGAATCATGTTCTTCCAGCGTCACCATTCTGTTTACTGTCAGGGGTATCTCCTTTAGTGGATCAGCAGATAGAGCAGGTGAACGGGCCTGCAGGACTCAGTTAAAGCTCTATCTTCATATCAGAACAAAAGCATTACCTTGGCTTGTTGATCCCAATCAAATCCTCGTTTATTTCTATTAAAAACTTTTGGGAGTGGATGCAGAAAGTGCTTTAAAACGCTGCTAGCATGAAGTCACCCCGTCTAAACCCAGTTATAATAGGCATGCATGTACACATAGACATACAGAGTCTAGAGCTGCTGTAACGCTCCCCTTGTGCTGTCTGCTTGGATTAAGATTCTGACAGGACCTGGTGGAGGTGAGTGTGTGATGAAATCAGCAGATCCGTTTCCTGTCAGGTCCATTGCCCTTCCCTCTCTCTCTTCCTGCTCTGCCATCTCCACCCAGCAGTCATCAGGAAAGGAGTTGCCTTCCAGACCTGGAACCGAAGTAAAATGAGAGGATGTGGAGAAGCAGGATGGTGCTTAGCTCTTCTGGGTTCTGTTTGCAGGTTTGAGTGCAGCAAAGCTGCTGAAGGCCAGCGGACTCAACCCTGTGGTGCTGGAAGCGCGGGATCGGGTCGGAGGTCGCACCTTCACTGTGCAGGTAAAGAACTGGAACACCAACAAAATGGCCGTCACAGGAGGAGAGGGGAGTGTCACTAATGCAACTGACATTGAAACGAGCCTAGCTTTATTTTACCTAGAACATGGTTAGATTAGCTTCCAAATCCAAATGTGTTTTCTTAAGCCTGATTCATGCTTCTCCGTCAGCTCCACAAGGGACAGACACGCACGGGTTGACGGAAGCGTTTTGCTCTCAGACTTCTCCGTCTCCTGGAGAGTGTTGCAAAGCAATTCCCCGGCAGGACAACAGAGGGCGTAGCGCTGTTCTGTGGTATCCTGTCATGTATCGGTCCAAGATAGTGTGTTTATATTGTGTTTTTTTTTTTTTTTTGTATATGAGACTTTTTAACACAGACAAATGTGTCTCTCATCCTCCCACCTCTTCATGCGCTCCCCACCTCTAAACCCACGTTTCCTGTCATTTCCGTCCACAAATAAAACGCTTGCTGTGCATCTTTTCACTCCTCCAGTCGCGGGGAATAAAATGTTCATATTTTAGAGTTTTTTCGTGAGGTGTTCTTCAAGCTGCTCCGTGTCTGCCGCTAGTTATCCTCGGCTCTCTTTATGTTTTTGAGGGCGCAATGGCGGCGGTGTGGACGACAACGGTGCCCTGACCAATCACAAGCTTGCGTTCTCTGTCTCGTTTGACGGATGTTTAAAAAAGTGGGCTTGACTCCGTATGTACTTGCGTGCCTGACGGGGCCCTACGCAAGGACGGATAATGGCGTTGCGTGTCTCCGCGCTGACGCAGACGGAGAAGCATGAATCAGCCTTTAGGGTGTGGGCTACATGAAGCTGCATGAAGGCTCACTGATGAACTAACGTTGTAGTTTTGGTGACGGGAAATATGAAATCCTCTTACCTTTCCATTTTCCATCATGGAAGATGTTCACGTGTTAATCATATATGTGATTAACTGTAATCACTCAAGGTTCTTAGAACCCATAGGTACATTTGTTCTGCAGTGACCTGAGGAGGCAGAAGAAGAAGACATTTATTTCTATAGCACTTATAATAAGCAGCATTACAGTAGACTATCGATTTTCAATAGAAGCGGTAGGTAATCCTCACCAGGGACTATGGAAACAATTAGCTATAAATGTTAGAAGACGTGGTGGGGACGGAATAGGAAAGGACAGCCAAAACTAGCTAGGAGACTGAAGGCGAGTCCTAACCAGTGTGGGGCGGGCGTAGGTGGGCAGGGGACCCAAAACAGAAAAGCGTAAAGCAACCAGCAGAACTTGTGACATAAAACACTGAGTAGAAAACTAAATGTGGAGAGCGTGGGATTTCTGAATAAGACAACACACTGAATAAACAAAAAGATTCAGTACTTTGAGTAGGAAGGAAGGCTAACCAGGGGTTTCGAAGTGTGTCAGGCATTGAGTAGATAACAAAAAGTAGGCAGCCTGGTAAGACCAAGTATACGAACGCATTAAAATAAAGGGCAGAAGATAAGGGATAGGGAGAGAAGGGAGAGTGAGAAGACACTTAGCAAAACATAAGAAAAAGAAGTACACAAGGGTAGGGAGGGGTGAGGGTGACAGCATGCACCCCTCCTCTGCTCCCTATGGGGGGCAGATGGATTGCTGGCAGGACAACACAATAACATAAGAGGAGGTGGGAGGTGGGGTGCTGGAGATTGGGGGCCAAGGGGTAACAAGTCCAGCAGTGAGTCCTTCATGGCTACGTGACTTTCCACCCAGATCCACAGTTCCACGTCAGGAACAGGTTAGGAGAGAGGTGTGAGCGAGTGTCTGTATCCATTCCTCAGGGAGTTTTGTTTTTTTTAGCCAAGTCCGAGCGGGGAGTCCGATTCAGATAGCATTTATTGTTTTGGAGTAGGCCAGAGATATTGTTTTCCTCTCTGCCTCAAGCCTAATTTATACTTTTCTCCGTCTGGGAGTGTGTGCAACAGCAGGTGAAGCACATCAATAATCACACAACCTGCTCTACATATACGCAGAGGAGGCGTCCTTTTCCTCATGAAGCAAAGTCAAACAAACAACTCTGAAAAGAATGTAATCTTGTCCTGTCACAGGACTTCAGACCCCCGTCCTTCATGTTCATCATGTGAGTGCTGTGCATGCTGTGGCATGGACTCTGGGTAAGCGGCGGCGACTCCCCGCACTTCTGAAGGATGCTGCAGGGCTGGGTGGTGGAGCCTGTAATGACCCTCTGAAGGATGCAGCAGGGCTCGGTGGTGGAGCCTGTAATGACCCTCTGAAGGATGCTGCAGGGCTGGGTGGTGGGGGAAAGGGAACAGACCTGTCAGATAGCAGAGCAGCTGTGGATACAATGTAGCTCATCATCTCCAGTGCGTGAGTGGGTGTATGACTGGTGTGTTGTAAAGTGCTTTGGGGGGGCCGTAGGACTCTTACCACAGCATACCATTAGTAAAGGTCTCACTGCAGGTTACAAGCTCGTGTTCCTGTAGAAGGGGTTCTAATCTGTTTCTGTTATCTGTAACGAGTATGTTCTTCTTGTTTGTGTTCTGATGGGTTTTCTGTGTTACCAGAACAAGGAGACAAAGTGGGTGGATCTAGGAGGAGCCTACATTGGACCGACTCAGAACCGAATCTTTCGACTGGCCAAAGAGTACGGCATTAAGACCTACAAAGTCAACGAGCAGGAGAACCTGGTCCATTATGCCAATGTGAGTGTTCCAGTTCTGATTAACTATCTTATACGTGTGTTTCACATCCATCAACATGAACCATAGCAGGACAAAAGCCAAGACACATCATCAACCATCCCCCTAGTAGCTGGTTCCAGTCCAAGTGATAAGCCCCACCCCCTTCATGTGATTAAATGAGCTCATATGTCTATGTGCTGACTCCTGAACCTTCCAGTTTGTTTCTACCGTAGTTCGCTCTTAGGGCTGAACCATCTGTCGTTTTTGGACCGAAATTGCGATTTCAAACAGCACGATCACGTGATCGTCAAAGCTGCGGTTTTAGCGGTTTTGACAGATCCAGGATCAGTTGTGTAACTTTTTTTTACATCCGGGGTTTTCCCCCGTGTTATGGCGGCGGCAAAAGCCAAGCGAGGGGGAGGGGGGTTGGGTGTACCTTCCAGAGCGAAACCCAACTCCACAGCTGCCAGAGCTGCATGTTCAGGTTATTTTCCCTGTTTTAATGTTCCCACACACGGCGCTGCTAGACCCGATAATAATGGCACTGTAGGTGAGCCCAGGACACAGAGAGAGAGAGAGAGAGAGAACATAGTTGAGTAGGGGAGAGAGAGACTCCTCCCACATCTGAGCAGGTTCAGGCTGATTTCTAAAGCTTGGCAGCGAGAGTGCGGAGACGCGCACTTTAGTTTACTTGAAAGCTCAACTTCTCGTATAATAATTTGAATGTTTCTGATGGCACACGTTATCTCAAACAAGCTAAGGTGTCAGAATGCGTGCGTCTCTCTCACGGAACTGATGTTTTAGTGAGGAAAAACTGTCAGACGGCTTTGAAAAACGTGCAGCCAGCCTGCCGCGGAAATGCAGGGAAAACTGTGTTATTTAATACATTTAAAAGCTGTTTCTACCTACAGATTTCCTCCATGCATTTTTGAAGTAAAACATGTTTTTATAAAGCTCCTCTAGATAAAAAGCGCAAGTTGCTTCACAAACACATGACATTTTTTTTAAAGATAATAATGGGAGAAAATATTAATAGCTTTTGTATGATTAAATACTAAATATTAATGTGAATGATTTGTTGTACTAGATTAGAATCTAGACCATCTTTTCACTGATTTACAGGATGGCTTGGCAGACTAGTGTTGGACCTTTGTTTGCAGAAAACCATGAATTGAACCGAAATCGCATTCTGCTAGAAAAAATTGCAATTCAATCTTTGCCTAAAATTGTTCAGCCCTATTAGCTCTAGTTGGCCTGGTGCCACTTGTGCCCAACAAAACGCTCCATGTATTTTTATATCTGCTGAGACAGGAAAAGCTGAGCATCCACTCAAGTTTCTTATGCAGCCCCACTAACATGTTCGAACAAGCAGTTAAATGACACAGCATTTCCCCATTCAACCAGCGAAATTAACATCCAAAGACAAACACACAAACAAACCAAAATTCAGAGAGTCGAAATGGCCGAACATCTATTAACGTGAGGCTGAGGCTTTTCTCCGGAGCTAGCGCTGAAGTCACGTGGCTCTGATGCTCATTAATTATTCAGATTTTTAAGCATTTCATTCCACTTAAACAGAAGAGTTACAAAGCAATTCACCCCTCTCAGAGTTGTCATGAATGTAAACTAGATCTATTAAACCTAACATGTTTTTGAACCAGGTTGTAAATGTGTTTTTTCTGCTGTGAAATGGGCTTTTTTAAAGAGCAAGTCACCCCTTACAAGAAGCGTACTTCACTCCCACTTCATGTTTGAAAAATGCAACAAATGCTGTTGCCTAGCAGACAGAGAGGGTGGAGCCACTAACAAATACACACACTCACGACATTGTGACATCATAATGTACCAGTTTACATCATAGCATACCTCTTAGCCAATAGCAGTGGCAGATTTAAATTCAAATCCAGTGAAGAGTTTTTACCTGACAACGGCACAACACTGACAGTTTCAGGTAGAAATTTTAAATTTTAACTAAAATGCACTAAAGTGCAAAACTATTGACTACACGTATCTGCAGCACGATTAGACATGCATTTATATAGTTTATCAGAAAAAAATAGTTTATTTGGGGATGACTTGCTCTTTAACATAGGGATTTGCTCACTTCTGCTGCCAGACCCTAGTGGATGAGTGTGGAACTGTAACTTTTGCCACTTCCTTGTTGACTTCAAATCTGTTGCAGAATTATGGGGGCTTGGTTGCCACACAGAAATAGGTGGAGGATGCCATAAGAAATATGAAGCCATCCTCCTGTGCCTTAGACCTTTTACCCACAACCCTGCTGAAGGCCAACATCCCTGCCATTTCTCCATTTATCACCAAGATAGTAAACCATTACTTATTGGCTAACAGTTTTAATAACTGCTTTCATCAGATAACTACTGAAAATCACCACTCTGGATCCATGAGTTTTCTTAGGCCTTGGACCTTTGCACATAAACTTTCTAACTACCTTAAAAACAATAACCTGTTTGAGTCTGTATTGCAAATTGACCATAGCACAAAAACTTCCTTGGTCGGATTCACAAATGACCTCCTGATGACAGCCGATACTGGCTCCTCGTCTCGACTGATCCTACTTAACAGCGGCTTTTGATAAATTTTCCTTCACCACTTGGAATATACCATTGGTCTGCAAAATGCCGCTTTCACATTAGGGCCGGTCCAGTCCGGGCTGGGTGGCATCGGTCCGGGTCCCGCACCAATAGGGTTTGTTCACACACACTTGTAAGGAAACGTGGAAATCTCAAAGCACGTGGGTGGGCAAAAGATGCCCGGAGAAGTCTGTTTTGTCTCCATTAAATTAAACAAAGGCGGCCATGAGCAGTGTTGCTTTTCAAGACTCTGACTTTGATAATGCATCCTGCTCTGCTTTTTCTGTCCTCACACTGTACGGCGCAAACCTCGGCAGCACTGTTTCTCTGTGTGTGTGTGCTCCTTACAGCACATAACAGTGTGAGAGAGAAAGAGGTGGCTTCTATCAGAAGAGATGTTTGCTCCACAGTATCCAGAATGATCATGAATCATGCATGTGGGAAACCCCCTAATGGTACATGTAGTCATTGTCACAGTAGGCCAGGCTACCCAGATGTGAGCAATTTATGTCGTATCTGGGTGGGACCAAGCCGGCCATAATGTGAAAGTGCAGAAAATGTCCTTGCCTGGTTTTCCTTATACCTAAATAGTTGAACCAAACCCATCGCCCTGGGCCAAGCAAGATTTCACACCCATTAAGTCACCTGTGGTGTCCCCCAGGGCTTTGAGCTGGGCCGCACTCTATTCACAATTTACGTGCTTCCCTTAAGCAATATTATTAGCAGACATGGCATATTTTCCCACTGTTATGCTGATAATACTTAACTTTACTTAAAGACACCATCCACTTAATTTGCTCCAGTACTAACATCTACAATAAAAACTTGTCTGGAGGACTGAGAAGGTCATTGGCTGCAAACTCCCCACCATACAGGACCTGATCACCTCTTTGACATTGATATATATACTTATACACATATATATATATATATATATATATATATATATATATATATATATATATATATATATATATATATATATATATATATATAAAATCAATTCGATATCCCGATGCATCACGATTATTTCAAATTTATCTGTTTTCATCGATTAATAGAAGATGTCAGATAGTTGCTTTTTATTTATTTATTTAATCAAAAACGTAATTGACACAACCTGCCATCCCTCAAAAGCTCTCCATTCACAACAGGTTAGGACAAAACATTTAAACATTTAAGAAGATTTAACAAAGTAAAACACTCGTTCAACACCACGCCTCAGGCTGAGAAAAACACGCTTTGCAAAAACTCACAAAATCTAAAAAAGTACTGAAAACCTACAGGACACATAATGTAATAATAAAATACATAATGGGTTCATATATGAGTGTTTAATGTCTCTGAGCAGCTCTGGAGTCAAATATTTATGCCACAGTTGAAGGGTGTCAGAAATAACACCAAATGAAATGTTTGACTTAGTTTGTTATTTTATTTGAACCCAGTGGTTCGTTTCTGAAATGTTGGAGAATGAATCAAGTTCTGTTTGATGCAGAAAATAAAACATAAAACAAATTCTACACTCCATTAATATTAAAGATGTGTGTTTTATTCTTTCTGATAATAACACCAGCAGAAGGCTGTGGGCTGGATTAGGATTAAATTACCCAGCTGATGGATCTCTTTCACTAACCAGCTAACTACAAACCTTTCCACTAACCTGTCCTGTGTGACCCTCACCATGTAACCCTCATGCTGTCTCTGGAGGAGCAGATAGGAGACAAGACCTCCTGCAACTTAAAATGAACCAAAGCTTCCTCCCAGTTTGTCTTTAAGCTGGATTTAACATCAGTTTATCATCATGACACAAAAGAATAAAGTGGAACAAGAACTTCTATCTTCTATTTCTCTCTACTTTTAACTTCTCCGTGTCCCTAAATACAAGAGACAGACAATCACGCTGCAGCCGCCGTCATTGACCCCACCCCCTCGCCAAGACCGGACCGCCCGACATCACAACACTCGGTCTGACTGAGCACTTGGAGGAGAAATAATAATTAAATTATGAAAATAATAATGCGTGTTTGGCAGAGCGGGCGCGTGACAACCCACTCAATTAACATAAATCACGGCCCAAATCCAACAGAACCGGTCGGTTCCGGTTCGGTCTCAGGTTACAACTCTAGCGCTTAGCCCTGCAGTACCACATTAAGGCGGAACCACTTGGTAAATGTGGAGGACGCTCACTCTGACAGGTTTGGATGCTGCGCTGGAGCCGCCGTTAATAAAACAAAACTACATTCCACTATAATCAATTATGGCGTACTCTTCTACAATGCAGAATCATTTATGTCCGCATCCCGATACATCGATGATTTGATTATTTTCCTCAGCTCTAATATATAGTTTGGCCGGGTTCAACTTGCAATTATAATGTGTTAATTGATCGTTTGGTCTGCGGCTTCAGCGGCAGCTAATTTCACATGG